TTAAGTCGATATTCATCGCCATGTTCACCTACGGTTATCAGTCGTGGGCAAAGACTGAAAGACTTCGATCCAAGGTAGAAGCAGTTAAAATTTCTTGGATGAATTTCTACCTTCATGGTTCTTGACATGGTCTCTGAAGTGCAGATATCCAAGAGATCCTTGGTATACAGTCACTGCTTGCTTAGATTGAGATCACAGCTGCGATGGTATCAGTTTTGCTGCGAATATCTCCAGGAAGGAAAGTTGAGCAATTGTTTCTTGCTCAACTGACCGGCAGAAAACCTCAGGGCGATCAAGATATGAAGATTAGCCTGGTGCAGGTATGCTGAAGACCGGATTCTGCTTTAGACTGCTGATACCTGCTGCCGAAACTGAAACGTTGGCATAGGACGGGTGACGTTAGAAGCCAGCCTTGTCTGATGCGTATGCCTCCGCGACGCAAAGGGAGGTGCGGTCATGAAAACTGAATTGAGTTGTTGCGGTTTTGTGCAAACAACGGCCTGCCTGCCATCAACACCTTCGTCGAGCATCGCAACGTGTATGAGTGCATCTTCTAGGGAAGACTGTGCAGAGAAGGCGATGATCAATATGATAATCGTACTAACTCTCTCACGACGCTAGGTAACGATGTTTCTGTTGATAGAGTCGCAGAGCAATCTGTTTATCCTCACCTTGCTGGTGGCACCCTCAGCTGCAAACGAGGAAGCACCATGTGAAGACCTGACGGAAGAAACAACCAGAGTGTCAAATGAAAAATATTATCTTTCGCGAATACGAGGACAAAAATTACAAACACCATCGCAAGCCGCATTGAAGAGGTCCCAATGACGCTGACATGATAACCTGGTGGAAACTGTTTAAGAACTACTTACTCAGGGCTGCCACCGAATGCTGCGGTTTAAAACATGCTCGTCTACCGTCTGGACGTCAGAAATGATTTTCCCGGTAGACATGAGATATTTAGCTGGCTGTCAGCGAAAGGCTGCGTTCAACAGATGATATGCAAGCAGAGAGGCTTCAGCTCGAATATGGTATAACGAAGCGCTCGATGCAGCATCGAAAGCAGTGGCCAAAGCGAAAGGTGATTCCTGAGAAAAGTTCCAGTGATGTGCTGAAGTTGAATCTCCAGACGTCAAACAAGATATCCCGCCAAACCATCTGTCGCCTCTGAGATAGAAAGAAGAGTAATCTAAGAATTCTAAAGGGAAAGTCAAAACGACATCTAATCAATCTTGAGAACAAACATCTCGGTACATGTGGAGAGTACTTTAAGGACCTTCTTTACCCGGAGCAACTACAGAAAGACTCGCTTGAAGAGCAGCAGGCACCTGTAGCAGGCAACTGTTGCTACTTCCGGCAAATGAAGTCTGGAAACCGTACAAATTTTGGATCAGTGGCAAAGATTCTGTAATCGATGAAATCCGTTATGAAATGCTTAAAGCTTTAGCCTAACACGGGTCTGCCAAACTGTAGTAGCTACAGGGAAGGCTTTTGTAACTTCAGGACTGGGTCGGTAGAAAACTGTTCAAGAAGGAGATTGTTTTGAGTGCTTCAACTACTGGGACATCAGCTTATTTAACCTCTCTATAAATCTCCATGCAAATTTGTTAAAATGGAGGTGCTGCGAAAAAACGGAGTTTCAGATGCAAGAAGAGGAGGGTAGCTTTGAGTCACAGAGAGGCACCTTAGACCATATCTTAACCTAACTAGGGGTGGTTGAGATATCGCTCGAATGGGTTCATCCTGTTTACATGTACTCTTTGTTACCCTGGGCGAGTTTAAACGTACTTTTTTGGCAGGACAAACCACAACAAAACTCAAACGTATTCTAAAATTATTTCCTATAACCATTTCGACAAACTTTGTGAGACAATTGCATTCGGTGATTCCATGTCTGCTTCATGGGTCATCTTCCCGTTTCCAAGACTCATGAATTTTGGATCGAATCGAATACTGTTATAGGAGTCAAGGAATGTTGAGAATATTGTTTCTCACCGCCACAAGAGCGACCAAAGGCTAGATGAAGCGAGTCTTGCCACCGCTCAATTACAGTGCCTACATGTAAGGGGAAAAAGAAAGCGTAAATCTTGCACTCCTACGTTTTATACGTGGGTTAAAGTCAGAGGCCTTCTCTTAAGCCGATCATTATGGTTGTTATAGCATGTTTTGCATAACCGAAATTTTATTCATCGTTTATATCTTTGTGCTGCTGTTCAGTCGATTATCGTGAATCGGGTCAAGTCGAAATGCAACCGTACGCGTCAGGCAACATTACCTCGAAATATAACTCACAAACCTCTATGTTGTTGCCATTGTTAGCATGTCGATGACCCGCTTGCCGGACAGTCTTATACCATGTTCAAGAAGGTTTGCGGTTTTCTAGATTATACACCCTGTGTGGAGTTTGAAACTCCATCTTTAAGGTGCCAAGCAGAGTGCTAAACCACTTCACCGCGGTCGCCCATTATCAGAGGTTCAGAAATGAATTGAGATCTTCCTGATGAGTCCAGCGTTTCTCACCAGAGTTATAGAACTTGTCGTTCAGCCGCAACGTTGTTGCAAAACAATGACTGTTATATAATAAAACGCCAAATCTTTTCATAGTCATACATCGAGTTTTAATGGAACAAAACTAATAATTGTTTTGTAAAAATTACTAACATAAAATTCACTTCAACAGAGCGGGTTTACTTGAAAGGTTCGAGTTTTCGATACTGTCGGTGAGCGTATCAGTCATGCATCTCTCACTGGATTTACATTTCATGTGTCTTGGTTTCCTAGGAGGCCGTTTAAAGCATGGTATTTTAGCACCTGCAATGAATGGATGCACAATCTTATCACTGCTTTAGGCCAAAAAACACGCTTGTAGACTTGCTCAAATGTCGCCATACATGGGATTATATACGTGTAAAATCTTCCCGTATTATGGATTTATTAGCAAAGTGCTAGCGTGTGATATAGAAGGGAAGGAAATCAGTCTCCTGACACTTTTCCGGATTTCGCTAACCTCAACATTTGAATAAACTCACTCTGAGTATATTAGAGAGAAGCATACATTGCTGATTTAACAAAAGCTTAACCAAGGAAATTCTGGCAGTTGAATCTCATGGTTTCAATCTTGCAAACAACCGCTTTGGGTGCTGGAAGGCATTGTAATATCTGTTCGTCTCTTTATCTTGTAAACTTGCGATCTACTA